CACAGTAGAGATGGCAAATGTAGTCCCTACAGTGTGGAATTTAATAAGCATAGTACTTTGTTCTTGCCTGTACAGCTTTGTCTCTGTAGCCTTTGAGGAACATGTATTCTAAGAACTCACCTGCATGAAAGTGCCCAGGAGATCACAGGCAGCCATCTAGTGCTGTGAGCTCTGTACAGCTTTTCATTTAAGTCTGGCTGTCTGGAGAGAGGTGACTTTAGGGGGACCACTGGCTGGGGTGCAGGGGGTCTTGCACTGATTTTCTCTTTAGTTGGCCTTAGAACAAGGTGATTCCTCATTTAGAGCTCTGAAGACCCTGATCAAGATCATAGTCTCTTCACTAGTTTCTCCTGGTGTCCGATTGTATTTTCCCCATTGGAATTTAAGTTCCCTGAAGCCAGCAAGTTCACCTTTTAATCAACTACAGTCCCTAGACCACAGATGAGCCAGGAGAGTTAGGCAACACTGTTGGTGAGTCAGGACAGTGAAGTTTTCTGACTAAGCCCAGGTAGGTGTTCTCATGCCCCGGGACAGATGCCTGGGGCATTTTGGGTTGTCATTTAGGGTAGTGCTACCAAAATCTGATGGGTAAAAACTTAGGATGTTTGTGGCCACCATGCTCAGCCCCAATAACAAAGAATTATCGGGCCCTAAATGTCAGCTCCAAGGATAACAAATTCCTGGCCTATTGGAATTTGGTTATTGTCTAAATCGGATTATCTTTTCTCTTAACATGTCCAGCTCAACTTAATTAGAGAACAGTTCTGCTTTCTTAAGCAGACATATTGGGTAGAGGTGAGTAGTACCTTTTTAAAAATTTTTAATATTTAGTTTTTAGTTTTAGGTGGACACAATATCTTTTATTTTAATGTGGTGCTGAGCATCGAACTCAGTGCTTCAAGCATGCTAGGTGATCACTCTACCACTGAGCTACAACCCCAGCCCAAGTAATAGCTTCTTTGAAAGGTATTTTTTTTCCTAAAATATTTATTTTTTAGTTGAACACAATACCCTTTATCTATTTTTATGTGGTGCTGAGGATCGAACCCATGACCTCGCAGGTTCGAGGTGAGCGCTCTGCCGCTGAGCCACAACCCCAGCCCTGAAAGGCATTTTGGTTCCTAGAACCACATGTACCTAGATTGGAAGCTAGAGTCAGCTGAAGCTGCTCGGGACCCCAGGCTTCCTAGTTATTCAGTAGTTACCAGGTGGTAAATGGATTTAAGGAGCTTGGCCAGGTGCCTGGCACACATGGGTGCTCAGTCAGTATCTTGCTTGTTTGCTTGTGGTGGTGCAATTTTGTGGTGGGTGGGTAGCTAACCACTATTTGCAAAATTGGATTTAAGAAAGGCCTTGTAGAAACCTTGGAGTTGAGAAATTGACAGAAACGCTGTGACAGCAATCTCCGTGGTTATCCTTATGTTTCCACCAGGATTTTGTTAGAATTGCCAAATTCTGTCTATTTAGACTGCCTGTGATTCTTTGCAATGCCTCATTTAACAGACATTGCTTGTTTGTATCTGCGCCAGGCTTTTAAATCAGTCATTGTCTTCATCGTTAAGAAGCTCCTAGTCTACCTGCAAAGATAGACACTGAACATGCAGTTGGTGTACAATTACTTAATTCAGAGGTCATACATGCTGTCAAGGATACATGGCATGTATATGAGAGGGTATTAAAATGGGGGAAGGCTGACCTATTCTGGAAGTTGAAGAAAAACATACCTGAAAAAATATTTAGACTGAATTTGAAATAACCAGGTAAAGAGGCAATGAGCTGGGTGGTGGGAAACATAGGGGCAGAACAAATAGCAGGTGAGACAGCCACCGTAAAGGAGCTTTCCAGAAAAAGAAAAAAATGTAGAGGACCCTGTGTCATAGGCTGGCAGGGAATGCCATGAGGTGAGGCTATGAACACAGAGTGGATGTACATCCTGTAGGGCCTTGTATATCTTATTGAATATTTTGGATGTTATTCTGAGACTCCTGTGAAGCAGGGTAGCAACATAATCAGATTTGCGTTTTAAAAGAGGTTTGCTAGGTCATTTATGTTTCCAGACCACTTTTAACTTCTGAAAGATCAAACTGCCACCTACATTTAGATGTATATGTGTGTGTGTGTGTGTGTGTGTGTGGGGGGTTATGCTATTTAAAACAAAGCAAAACAGTTTTACTGTGATATAATCTATATACCATAAAATCTGTCCCTTTAAAATGTATAATTCAGTGGTTTTGATATAGTCACAGTTGCACAACCATCACCACTATCTAATTTTATCCCCACTCCCCTCTCCAAAAAAAAAATATATATAATAAAATAAAATAGTCTGTACCCCATTAGCAGATACTCCCTTTCATTCCCTGCCTTTATTGTCCCCTAAAAATCTACTTTCTTTCCCTGGATTTGCATATTATAAATGTTTTGCACAAAATTAGGTAGTATGTGACCTTTTATGACTGGCTTAGTTCATTTAGCATGGTTGTCAAGGTTCATCTTTGTTAGGGCACAAATTAGAACTTTATTCCTTATTATGGTTGATATTATTCTGTTGTATGGATCTACCACTTTGTTTACTCATCCGTGATGGGCATTTGAGTTGTTTTAGCTTTTTGGCAATTTTGAATAACACTGCTGTGACTTGACATTTGTATTCATACAGATGGTACAAGAAAGGACATAGATTTCAACTTTAAAGAGCTTAACTTCTTTTTATTATGTGTGGCATTCGGTTTAAGAAGCAGCTTCTTTTCTGAAAGACTTGTGTGGCAATAAAGTTTCAACCTACATGTATTAATGTTGATGAGAAAAATGTCATTAAAAATCAGAGTTTTCTTCTTGGCACTTGACAGCAATATTTGCAGTTAATGGTGCCAGTTCTTGATTAGTTCTGGAAGTCAGAGGCCATTGTTATGCTGGTTTAGTTGTTCATTTTTAAGTGGATGCTAAGGAATTCTTTGCTCCTCAGTTTCAGTTGAACTACTTGTCCACTTTAATAGAATGTACTTAATTGCCTATTATCAAAGTAATGATTTTCATCTTGATTAGTCATTTTAGAGCATAAAAAATAAATAAAAGGTAGCATGGCCTCAGTATTACAGAGTTCAGAATGTGTACCAGGAGATCACGAGTATAATAAAAAATGGTTTACGACCTGCACTGGGGCATGACTTCAGGCCCAGTAAGTATTAAGATTTAGTAAATGATTAAGCAAGAACATTTTCAGGCCAAGGAAAAGAGCGTAGGCGGTTAATACAAGAAGCTTCATAATTTGCTCTAGAGGTTGGGGAAAATAAAGTTTTGTATGAAGTCCAAGTGGTTTTGGTAACAGTGGTTAAATGGTAAATTAACACAAATCAGTCAACAACTGGAAAGGTTTGGTGTATCTAGTTTGGGTTACAAAGTTTGTCAAATGATAAATCTTTGAAGTTTAATGTGCCTGATTCTTCTTTTTGTTGTTTTATAACTGGTTCTTTTTAATGTTATTGTCATGGATGTTACCCAAGATTTCATTCAACATTAAGCAAGTTTAGGATGACTATAAATTTGGTCCATCCATTGTGCAACAAGTTACAGGATGCCTACTGCTGATAAATAGTCACATTTGTCAAGGGCAAGCAATTTATTTCTTTGGCCAATAGACTCCTATTTGAGAAAAACTGGTGGTTTCATAGTAAATAATTGATTAATAATAACTGGTCTACTCTGCAGTTTCATCACTATACTTAATGGGCTCACTCTTATTTATCAGGCCATTTGAAGAATCTCATTGCTGCTGTTATCATAGAATTTGCCCATGTGCTTGTGCTGTATTGGGTACATGCCTGCTTTATGTTGTTTAATCCTAATAGTCCCCTACCAGGATAGATAGATAGTAGTGGCATATGTAGTCTACCAGAATGAATAAAGGCTCAGATTAAGTGACTTGTCTGAGCTCACCTAGAAATGCAGAGCCAGGACTTGATTGTGGGGCTGACACTAAGTCTCATGTAGAGTTTCCTCTGCCACTATTTCTCAGTGAAACAGAAAACATTTATTAATGGAGTGTTAAATTTTATCTACAGTTGAAATTAGGAAGGATAGGAAGGGCAGCAGAACAGAACAGATAATATAATTGATGTATGTACATTCCATGTATGTATTATATATAAAAATTCATTCTGCTGTCATGTATGACTGAAAAATAAATAAATAAAAATTAAAAAAAATTTTATCTACAGTTGAAATTCTTGAATTTAGTTCTAAAAAGTATAATTTGGCTAGAGCCTATTCGTGGAAATTTGGTTCTTCGCTTGTTGTTACTTGGTTTTCTCATTGATTGCAGTATGACCTTAAGTAATTTCTTCATCTTTCTTAAGCACATTTGTTCCCATCTCTAAGGATGCCATATGCTCTGTTATTAAACCTCAAGATTTCTAAAGGTCTCTTCTGTCTAGCCTACAAGACGATGGACAATCTAATGTAGTCACAGAGTGTTCAATTCTCCTGCCTACTGTAACTGATATGTTTAGTGGTTTTGAGTTAAATCTTTGCACTATGTGACTGTTTTCTTATCTGAAAACAAGATTAACAATGTTAGCTATTTGCCTTCTGAAGTTGAATTGACTCTCGGGAAGGAAAGGCCAGCATAGCTTTTCTAGATCTCAGTGAAGGAAGCATTGGGCCAGGAGTCAGAGCACCTGGGCTGATGATCCGGTTCTGCCTCCAGTGACTCTGCATGGCATACAAGCCTTACCCTCCCCCCACCCTTCCCACCTGCCTTGAGGATTTATAATGAGAACTGAGAGGTCATGTCTGAAATGTATTTTATGCTTCATAGGCAATATGGGTATTAAAGATGATGATTGTCCTCAAAAGTACCATCATGAGATTATAGTATTTGGAAATCTTAGATTTGATTTTAGCTTCTGTTTTTTGTTTTTGATTTTCTTAGGTGACACTTCAGTTGTGTGTTTTAATTTTTTGTTCTTTTTTGTTCTTTTTTGTTCTGTTTTGTTTTTTAGTGGTATGTGTGCAACAGAGAGAAATTATGTGAATCACTCCAGGCTGTCTTTGTTCAGAGTTACCTTGATCAAGGAACACAGATCTTCTTAAACAACAGCATTGAGAAATCGGGCTGGCTATTTATCCAATTATATCATTCTTTTGTGTCATCTGTTTTTAGCCTGTTTATGTCTAGAACATCTATCAATGGGTAAGTGAATCTTGGACATTTTGTTTTTCTTTATCCTTAGGTTTAAAAAAGGAAAAGTGAAAAAAGAAAGTTATCTTGTTCAAAGTATTGACTATCTCAGCTGCGTTAATCTTGTTTGCCAAAATCCTCCGCAGTAGATCCACTGTTCAGGCTTTCTGTGCTTTTGCTTTTAAAATTCACTATAACTTGGTGAATAGCCCTATGGTAAGAGTATAACTCTATGGCAAGAGTCACTTAATTCAATATTCACAGCTTTGATGTCCTTAGAAACCACCTGGGAGGTCTGTTAACATGTAGAATAAGAGGTAGTAGTAGGTCTGGGCGGGGCCTGAAATTTTGCTTTTTGTGTATGATTCTGGAGATTTAACTCAGGGCATTATGCTGTGTAAGTGCTTTACCACCTGAGCTACATCCCCAGCCCTTTTGGTTTTTATTTTAAGATGAGGTCTCCTTAAGTTGCTGAGGCTCTGGCTTTGAACTTATGATATTCCTGCCTCAGACTTTCAAGTAGCTGGGATTATAGACATCACCACTGTGCCTGACTGAGATTCTGCAGTTTAAGCAAGTCTCAGGTGATGCCAGTGATGCTGCTGCAGCCTGCTAGTTGTGCATTTCAGAGTAGCAAGACCCTTAGAACCAAATCCTTAAGCCCTTAGGCTGAAGAGCAAGACCTTAGCCTTAAACACAGTTCCCAGAGGTCTTTTTTTTTTTTTAGGGGATTCTAATTTCTCTGCCCAACAGAGAATGATGGTTTGTTTGAAAAGTCTTACATTTGTTCTTACATAATGTCTGGGCTCACCAGGATTTTGTAAACTTATTGTGGATTTCTGTATTCCCAGACTGGTTCCCCCATATGAATCCACAGAAAAGGATTTAGGAATATTATTTATCCTTTTGAATCCAAAATTTCAAACATCCCCAAGGTCTTAGAATTCAGAAAGCCAAAGAGAAAAGCAACAGGGCATGATACTTAAAAAAGCCTTATTGGACCACTGAAGTCACTGGTTGGGCCCACTTTTCTTTTCCCTTGAGGTTTGGAGCCAAGTTCTGCTGAATGTCTGGATCCCAGTCTGTCATCTGGTCCTTAAATATGTTTTCAGCACTGCAAGCCACTTCTCAAGATTTCTTATTTGATGTTCTTCCTTATTGCTTGTGTGAAATTGCCTTACATTTGCTTCAGCAAACAGTTGTTATTTTTGTATTGGGAGTTGAGTTTATACAACTTGGTCTGACATTTTGTTCCTAAAATTGGTTGTACTGAATTTCTGTCCTATGCCACTTATTCTTTCTTGGGACATTAGATGAGTCACTGTAGCAGATATTCTTATTTTGGGAGTCCTGTAGCTCTTTGAAAGTATAAAAGGTAGGAATCCTGTCTTCAAAAAGTAGTTAATTTTTTTTTATGTAAATTGGGGTTTTTCAAACTCTGGATCTCTTCCCTCTTCCTCTACTTGTTGGAACCTTTATAAAATTCCCTGCTGCAGATTTTTACAGTTTGATCAAAGAGGCAACGCGATTAATAAACCCCTTTGGTTTCTCGTATCTCTCTTTTATTTTATTTTGTTTCTTTGAAATGGGATCTCTCCTGTTGTCCAGGCTGGCCTCAAACTCCTGGGCTCAAGCCATCTACCTGCTTCAGCCTCCCAAATAGCGGGGACTACAGGCATGTGCCATCTGCCTGGCTCATTATGCTCTTTACTTTTGATTATTATTTTTTTAACCCACTACCTCCCTGCCAGCACATCCCTCTTGCCCTGTGTTCTCTTCTCAACAAAAAACTTAATTTTGAGTTTCTTGGTACTTTCCACCCATGGCAATGGTAGATTATTACAAGTGACTGCCTCTTACAGAAATAAATAATTATGGTAGTACTGTCTTGAATTAAAGTTCTTATCAAACTAACTCTATGATAGAAAGGAGAAGGCCAAATAGTGAGATACTTGCTGTTTTCAGAGTTTATTTTGCAAGAGGCAGACCTCCTCTAAAGACTCCAAATCGAGAGAGAACTTGGATTGAGGCCAGAGAACCTAGGAGGGATATAAAAGACTAAAGTCAGAGACAAATTAGACAGTCACATCTCTTTCATGGTTTGTGTTTACCAGAAACCTTGTATCAGACTAAGTGTCTTGATATTTTAGATGGGACAATTTTTTTATTATGTTAGACTTCCCCACACATTGTAGGAAGTGTAACTTTTCTGGCCTTGCTTACTAAAGGACATTAATACCCCCAAGTCACTGCAACTGAAACTCCCCCACTGCCCCTAATAGGCAAAGTTGGTCCTGGTAAACAACATTGGGCTGGATGGACTTGACTTTTAATCTTTTAAAGCCGTATTGCTGATCTTTGGAAATAGAACAGTGCTTCTCCTCTCTCTCTGGTGCCCTTAAATGTAGATAAGTCAGTAAGTCAGATGACCTTATCAACTCTGACCTCAGATGACCTCCAGTTCTAGAATTTGATGGGTATCCTGACAGTATTTCTCATATCCCAAGAAGATGGCCTGGAAAGCATGTTGTTTTATAGCTGGGAAAGTTTATGCAAAATAACTATTTTGTGCAGTTACTTTGGTCCTGTGCCAAGTCAGCATCAAGATTTAAAATCTGCCTCCTGAAGCCATGCTGCTTGTAGCCTCTTCCTTCTTTGACTCTGGGGCCCGCCTGCAGTTCTTGCAGCTATTTCAGCAGGTTCAGTCCCTTTTCTCAGTTATGCATGTATTTCCACGAGAAGATAAGAACAGTAGAGGATTAAAAACAACTTGTCTTTTTTTTTTTGAGATATCCTTCTCTGGTAAGTGGTTGTAATTTATAACATCATGGTTGGTTGTCTCTGGGGTCTTTCCTCCCCACTCCCCAGACTTTGAGCATTTCTCTGGGCCAGATTTACTGTAAATGTATTATTAAATTTGGTGGCCTTAAATTAGCTCTTATTAAATTATTAAATTTAACTCTTCTGAGGCCTTAATAGGAAAAAAGGAGGGGGAATTTGTTGCATGAACTCCCTCCCCTGTTTTTTTTTTTTTTGAAACTGGTCTTGGCTCAAGTAAGCTGTTGCATGCACTTTTTCAGTCACTATGTAGCAAACATATTTTTGTGTTCTGATTGGAGAAAGTGGCAGTAGAGATTTCCTTGCTGTGTCCTAGACCAGTGAGTTTCAGTATGCTTTCCAGGGTGTGAGGAAGAAGTGCCTCAGGAGTTACTTCAGGTTGCAAAGAGAATCCCAGAAGTGGGCTGGTGGCAGCTTCAGGGCTCTCAACCTCGTGCCAGCAGCAGCAGCAACAGCTCTCTTGCCATTTTATACTGTATATGAGTGCCACTTCCTTTAATCAGAAGAACCTTTTCTTTAAATGAAGTTGGATAATTCCTTCCCCAGACAATGTAGGATTTGAGAGCTAGAGGTCAGGTTCTAAATATGGAGTTTGTTGTATTTCCCAAAATGGTGCTTCCAGGAAGACTTGGCTGCTTTTCCATGGGTTCTCTTTGATCTCCATCCTCATTCCTCTCAGGTTCTTTTTTTTCAAAGGCATTATTACTATTGGGAATGTTTTTTAGGACCTTTGAAAATAACAGGACCAAGCCAACTGTAATACATAAACCTAAACAAATACGAATCTACTTCTTAATCTTCTACATTAGCAGATTAACTAATGTCACAAAGACCATTCTTTTCCTATTTTTTTTAAGGTTCTTTTAAAACTATTGTACAAAAGCTAATTTTTCTCCTTCACCCACTGTTTAGTTCCATCTTCCAATTGGCCTTTTTTCCTACTTGATTTCTCTGCATAGCTTTGGGGATGATTCTGTTAGCCCGTCATCTTTTTAACTGATAAACATGTTCTGTTACTCCTTCTGCCTTTCCTTCCTGTTTTGACTTAAATTCTTCACATTCATCTTTCAATTTCTTATTCATTCCTTCATCCATTCCCTTCCTCCCTTTTCCTTTTCCCATGCCTTTGAGGGTATTATTTACAACTCTAAAGACAAATGCTATCTGTAGTTATTTTCTTATTTTATTTGCTTTTTAATCTTATAAGTCATATAAAAGATATTTTAATCATAAAACTTTTATAAATTCAAAGGGTTGTTGGTGCTGAGTCACTACATTCACTTTTTCATGTATATTGGGTTTAATTTGCATAGACTCTTCCATTTTTGTCCTTTTTTTTCAGGTTGCTAGGAAGAGGTTCAATGTTTGTATTCTCACCAGATCAGTTTCAGAGACTGCTTAAAATTAATCCAGACTGGAAAACCCACAGACTTCTTGATTTAGGTGCTGGAGATGGAGAAGTCACAAAAATCATGAGCCCTCATTTTGAAGAAATCTATGCCACTGAACTCTCTGAAACTATGATATGGCAACTTCAGAAGAAGAAATACAGGTACTATTTCTAGACATGGTTTGGGACATACTTCTTGGTTTTTAGATGTTTTTCTTCTTGAAAGTATGTTATTTAAGGTGTATGGATCAGAAATCATTTTCCATGATTAGGAACTAAAATATAATATATTTCCATATATAATTAAATGGAAATTTAGAGAGGAAATAATCTTTCCATAGCAGTATTTTTTTCTGGAGCAGAGGAAGAAAAAGGACTAATGAGAGAGCTTGGAAAAGGCACGTTAGATGTAGAGACTTGTTCCCCAATCAGAATCTGATAATCGTAAATATTTTGTATGTTTAATATTAAGTACATTTGCATTGTTGCACAAACATCACCATCATCCATCCCCAGAACTTTCTCATCTTCCTCAACTGAAATTCTGTACCCATTAATCAGTAACTCCCTTTTCTTCCCTTCTTTCAGCCCCTGACAACCACCATTCTACCTTGTCTCTGAATGTGACTATTCTAGGTACCTCATATAAGAGGAATCATATTTTTATCTGACTTATTTCACCTAACATAATGTCTTCCTGGTTCATCTGTGTTGTAGCATGTATCACACTTTCTTTAGCTATTCATCTGTCAGTGGACTTTTGGGTTGCTTCTACCTTTTGGTTAATGCTTCTACCATTTGGCATTGTGAGTAATGCATGAACATGCGGGAACATATCTATTGAAGTCTCTGCTTTCACTTATTTTGGATATATACCTGAAAGTGGAATTGATGGGTCAAATGGTAAGCCTTAATATTTTGGAAAATTTGCCATATGTTTTCCATAGCAGCTATACCATTATTGTATTCTCGTCAACAGTGTTCAAGGGTTCCAGTTTATTAACATCCTTGACAATTATTGCTATTTTCTATTTTGTTTTTTAATAACAGCCATCAGTAATGATGCGTAGGAAGTGTCAAATCTTGGTTTTAAGAGACTTAGGAAGAAGAGACTTAGGAAGAAGCGCAATCTTTATTCAGTATGGATACTTTTTGTTAGGGGATTTCTGTGTATTGGTTGAGTATAGAATGGAGGAGCTGGAGCTGGAGCTGGCCTCCTCTATGGTATTTTGGAAGCCTGGCTTAGCCTTGGAGAGAAAGAAGAAGAATGTGTAATCACTTACTTTGCTATTTCCATGTTTTTACTTTTTACAGACTAACACTAGACATGGAGCATCAGTGTACCTTTTGGAGCAGGACTGGACTGAACATTTGCAAAATATAGAACTCCTTAGCCCAGGGAATGGGCAGACTAAGTAGGAGGCAATGGAAGGGAAGATTATAGTAAACAGATATTTAGTGTGATTTTCTATGGAAGGAAGGAATAAATGTAATAATGTCTGGTATAACTGAGTATAGGCCTGTAATCCCAGCAACTCAGGAGTCTGAGGCAGGAGGATTGCCAGGTCAAGTCTAGCCTCAGCAACTTATTAAGACCTTGTCTCAAAATAAAAAATTAAAAGGGCAGGGGATATAACTCAGTGGTAAAGTGCCCCTGGTTTCAATTCCTGGTACCCAAAACTAAACAAACACACAACAAAATAAGGATGAATTTGAGCTAGTGTAGGTATAGGTTTAACCATCTCAGCATGCAAACTTTAATTTTCTGTTAAGAGAATATATTTCTGTCTTTCACATGGAAACTACCTAATTCTGGGATGGATTTAGTGAAATTATTCTACATTACAACATGCTGATGGTATTTGGCTTCTGATTCATTGTACATGTGAGTTTCTTTTAAAATAAAGTATATAATTTATCTTTTTAATTGCTCATTTCAGTGTTTAAAATCAGAACTGTTGGAAATTTTATCCTAAAACTATAATCTTTACAGTAATATTTTGAAATTCTTCTTTAATGCCATAAATCAAGTTTCTTAATATCAGTAAAACAAAATGATTTTGAAGCCCTAGTGCTCTATTTATTTCAATCAATATTTAGTTCAATTAAACACCTGTACAATAGGCTGGGTACAGTGGTGCATGCCTATAATCCCAGTGGCTCGGAAGGCTGAGGCAGGAGTTCAAAGCCAGCCTCAACAATGGTGAGGCACTAAGCAACTCAGTGAGATCCTTTCTCTAAATAGAATAAAAAAAGGGCTGGAGATGTGGCTCAGTGATTGAGTGCCCCTGAGTTCAATCCCTGGTTACCCCCCCCCCAAAAAAAAAAGACCCAAACCTAAAAAAATCCAAAAAACCACCACCAACAACACTTGTATAACAAAGGAATATGACTGGTTACTTTAAATTAGACTTGTTTAGAGGTGACTCTGTTTTATAAAAATATAGATTGAAAAAAAGATGTAACTAAGTGACTTATGTTCCTTTTTGTTCTATTCAGAAATGTTATAAAATATCATTGTTAGTAATGTTTCTAAAATAGCCCTCATTATACTTTTAGAATTTTCTAAGATACCTCCTTGTTCAGCATTATTAAAGACTTGTTTTCCACAGATCCTTTTCTCTGTTTCCTTTTTCACCTCTTTCTATTCCAGCATGTTTTACTTGCTGCATTCTGACTGGTGTAAGCAGGCAGGAGTAAGTAGTTTATAGAATTGACTCAGTGATTTGGTTAGCAAAGACTCTGTCTCTTTTTTTTCTCATAGCTTTATTGAGGTAAAATTGAAGGGCAATAAAATGCACATATTTTGAAGTATGCAATTTGACTGGTTTTTGACATGTATGTAACCAATACACTCAATATAAAAAGCATCTCCATTATTTTTTTTAAAATTTGAAATCATGCAGACTGTGTTTCCTGTATGATTTATTACATTAGAAATCAGTCACCTTAAGATATATAGAACCTCACCCCCCAGGTTATCAAAGACTTGATATTAAAAACTTCCCCTTTCTGTAGATAAACATTGTAAAAGACTAAAAATGGTATGGGGGTGGGGATGGGGGTGGGTGGGGGTAGGTGAGATTTTCTAATCATGTTTTTTGCTTATAGTTTTATGAGAATGTCCTATGCTTTATGTTTTTCTGAGTAGTTATTTAGACATGAAGATTCTAGAGTATGAAATTGTCTCCTGGCAATGGATATGATGAAAAGATTTTTAGGTTACTATTTTATACTACTCCATTCTTAGTATAGGAAGGACCCTAGGAATAGAAAATATGAATATATATTTTTTTATGATTCACTGCTAGTGAATGTTAAAAAGTTAGATTCATTCTTTTGTTCTTTCATTGGAGAAGAGAACTAATTTTTATTACTTTATGTCTTCTTTCTTATTAAACATATTAGTTCTTATAAAGAAAGTTCTGTATGTTTTAGTATTTGTTAATAGGAGAAATGGTAAATTCAAAGAAACATGGTTGCTGTTTGTCTCTTGTCTGGCCTTTGTATTTTTGCAAATATAAATTATAAGTGAATATTTTGAGTTTACTTTGTTTTGGAAGACAAAATTAGAGCTTTTATTGGCATCTTAAATTATTTTAAAAAGATGTCTTCAAAGCAAGAAATATTAGTCAAGTTCTTTCTGATGTTTTTCTAGAGTGCTTGGAATCAATGAATGGCAGAACACGGGGTTTCAGTATGATGTCATCAGCTGCTTAAATTTGCTGGACCGCTGTGATCAGCCCCTGACTTTGTTAAAAGATATCAGAAGTGTCTTGGAGCCAACTAGAGGCAGAGTCATTCTTGCCCTTGTCCTTCCTTTTCATCCCTATGTGGAAAATGGTAAGTATGGTCAGACCAAATCTTATCCAGAGTTGGTCACAATTAAACATTGTCTAATGTTTTTTAAAATAGGCTGGAGTTTAAAGTAAAACTTATCTCATTTAAAATATCACCTTATCTGGCTGGGGTTGTGGCTCAGAGGCAAAGCTCTTGCCTAGCATGCGTGAAGCCCTGGGTTCGATCCTCAACACCACATTAAAAACTAAATAAAGGTATTGTGTCCATTTACAACTAAAGAATAAATGTTTTAAAAAAAATCACCTTGGTTAATGTTCATCTTAATGTTGATTTTATAGAACTCTAGTACTCTCTTGCAGTGAAAATAATTAATACTCAGCTGGACCTGCCTACTTGAAGTTGAAAGCCTAAAATGTGTTTGTATCCTCTGGTTTTAAATGGAGCTTCAACCATTTATTTATTAGTCAATAAATGATGCGTTTTCATCTGCTCATCTGTACTTGCTGAATGTCATGCCTGTTTTGTTTTGCATTTTTCATTTCTTGTCCCAGACTAAAAAAAAAAAAAAAAGATAGTAGTTGATACCTGTTTTTCTCTTTTGAGAAAAAATATCATTTCTTTGAGTAACATTTGATTTTATTTCATGATTTTGCTCTTCAGCAATATTAAATGAAGATTATTTTTAGAAGAAATGGGCTTGTTTCATATCACTGCAGATTTATTATGACTTCTGGCATTTAATGTGACCTAACGTCACACGAATTCATAGTTTTAGCTTAATGTGTTTTGCATTTCAGATCATCTTGGAAATTTTGGCTTTAAGTCTCTCTTTTGTATTTTTATAAGTTAAAATACATAATATAAAAATTATTTGTTGTATAAATTATACATGTTAATTCTTAAAAATCTTTAGTTCTGTTTTGTGGTCTAGTTTAGCCATTCTTCAAAAACTCTTTAACAGCTGGCAGACATTTTAAGAAATCCATTACTACTTTGCAAGTGTCATAGTTATTAGATATCACGAAGTCTTCTTTTTTTTAATATTTATTTTTCAGTTGTAGTTGGGCACAGTACCTTTATTTTGTTTATTTGTTTTTATGTGGTGTTTAAGATCGAACCCAGGACCTCTCATGTGGTAGGTGAGCACTCTACCACTGAGCCACAACCCCAGGCCCATGAAGTCTTTATCTTCAGGAACAATGCTTACATTTCTTACAACCATGAGTGCTATATGGGTTTATGTTACCATTTACATGTGCCTTAATTTTTTCTTGTCCTTATTTTTGTTTCCTATGTGCCTTAGCCTTTCAGATTGAATGCTTAACTACCTTGTGGTTTTAGATTTGTGTTGATGGTGGGGAAAAATGGGAACTCTTTAGACATGGGAGGGAGGGAAGAAAGTTAGTACAGATACCTTCTCTTATCTTGCTTCATCATTTTTACATTCCTGTTAGTCTTGGTAAAACAAAAACTGCTTGAATTGTGAGTGCCTATTTATCATGTATATGTTACACAGTGAATAAAATCTAGTAAATATCCTCTTTGGGAATTCAGCAACCTGACTTTGTTTCAGTGCTGCTCCCTGTGTAATTAAACCTAGGCTCCATCTCTCTGCATTGGTCTCACTAGTCATCAGGTTGTAAGGTTCTGGTTTCCTGTGTCCTGTTGGGCAACCACTTGACAGAACTTTAATGCTACTTCCTGGCATAGCAGGAGGTGGAAAAGCAGGAGGAAGAAACATTAGTGTAACCACAACCACAAATCTTATTTCCATGTGTTTCTGACACTGAAAATCAAGAGGAAGTCAAACTGGACAAGAGGGCAGTCTCCACTAAGGATTGAAACAAGCTCCTTGATTGTGGATGTTTGGAGCTGCCTGAGGAGTCTAAGGAGTCCAGCATGTGACACATTGCAAACTCGAGACAAGAAACCTTGTTGCTATGGGTGACCTTTAGTGACCTATAAATTTTGCAGACTGCTCTGTAGCACTCTATTATTGCTTCCTTTCTCCACATCACTAATTAGATCCTGATGAGTTCCATGTGAAACTGAGGTCTGGGAGGTGCAAAGTGATCATGCGTGTGAGTTCATGAATACTGGCCTATATTAAAGCTGAGTGTGTTTTGCCTACCTACTTGACTTAATTTCTTCAAAAAAAATTTTTTACTGGTGCATTATAATTACACATAGTGGGATTCATTATGTCGCATTTGTACATGCACATGACATAATTTGATCACTTTCATTTCCCAGTATTTATTTTTTAACAAAAGCAATTGAAGGTGAAATGATGACTTGTGTAATTGTTTGGGAAAATGTCTTGAAGTTGAACCGCATGGATTTTATTGTGAAGATTAACTTGAAAACAGAAAATGCAACAATGTATCGTCCCAATTTCAGTTTCTTTGGTTTACTGACCCAGTCTTGGTTAGAGGTTGTTAAATCTAGTTGGTTAAGTACCCCAAAGAATTGGTTAACTACCCCAGAATAAAAAGGAAAAATACTTGATTAACACAAGAATTATATTATAAAAATGAAAATTTAATGACATGATTTTTTAAAATTGTAATTTTTATACAAAATGATTCATAGTAAAAATAGTTCAAATAGCTTATAAGAGACTATACAGTGCAAAGTTTCTCATCCATCCCAGTTCCACAGTCTTTTCAGGTTATCTTAAATATTCTTCAGAAGTTAAGTCTATGAACAAGCTGAAGCAGCCCATTGTAAGATTTTAGTTGCCTTTTCCACTTAAACATATGTTGGGAATTTTTCCATATCATCACATAGGCATCTTCATCATTTTCTGAATGTAAGCCGTGGTATACTGGAGCTGGCTCAGACTGGCTCATGGCACCTAATTATTACATTGGTAGGGATTTAGCAAACTGGTTGTTAAATATGGCCAGTATTACATTTGATATTAATGGGAATGTTTACACCATGGAGTTTGGCAAATACCACAAATACCCTCTCCCCTCTATAAGATGATTGTTGAACATTTACCAACCATCACTAAATGTACGGAGAGAAGGTGGTTTGCTTTCTAATGTTAAAAAAAAGGTAGAAACTTTTGTTTGTGACATTTAATGAAAATATTTCTATTTGAAATATTTTTCACTTGAGATCACTCTTTCATTTGAAATACATTTTTAAAATTCCTGTTTTACTAAGAGCCTAAAAAATTAGAAATCCATACTGAATTTTGCCATCTGAGTTTTTCATATACAGAGATGGTCATATTTTTTTCTTCCTTTGACTCATTAAATCAATACTTCTCTTTTAATATATAGCCATTATATTATTTTTGGACTTGGATCATCTTTTAATGCACTACTAGATTCTATTTGCAAAAATTCTAAAAATATATAATCATTAATATTGTTGATAAATGATAGTCTGTGCTTAATCTTTATTTTTCTGGAGGGTGTTACCTTTGTTTGGGTATCAGTGTTCTGTTGAATTTTTAAAAAATAACTGGGAATGTTTTGTTGTTTGTTCATTCTTTGAAAGTTTGGTGGGATTCTCCTATGAAACATTTTAGGTCTGTGCTTTTGGAGAGGTGTGGCTCTTTGGCAACCTTTTCATTCTCTCCCAGGGTCATTGGTCTGGTTAAATTAAACATGTTTAGTCTCAAGGCTCTCATCAGTCTAAATAGAAATAAACAGGACTTTAGCAGTCTTTTTCATGGAAGAGCATGGAATTTTAGAGATGACCTCTGTTTGAATTTGAAATGTGAGTTTCTGGGTCTGTCAGTTATCTCAGAGCTTCATCTGCAAAAAAAGGGGGTTAATACCTACCTTGAGGTTTATTGTGAGGATAAAATAATGTATTGAACAGTGCCAGACCATGTCTGTCTTGCTTTTGGTATTTGATAAATATTAGGATTATTATATTCTATCCTGTTCTATTCCTTTTTTTAAAAAATTGTGGCTATATTGATTGTTCACTGTTCTTCAGATTGAAATATTTGTCAAGGTCTGCCTAAAACTCTTAACTCAGAAATCAGAATTTGAAATCTTCATTCTACATTTTAACTGTCTGAAAGTGCATTCTCCATTGTTTTATATGACTTGACACCTTAGAGACATAGCTTCTCTTGTCTTATACAGTATGAAAAGGAAATCACTTATTTTGAAAGTCCCATTAATATATTTTGATATGTGGTTTTGGGGAGCTTTTGCCTAGAAAATAGGGTTTGTAGGTGCTAGAACATCTTTTGGTCCATTTTCTTCTTAGAAATTAGGAGGTGAGAGCCTTTGGCAGTTAACTAGGATTAGATGGGTCACAAGGTCAGGACCTTCATACACGTGATTAGTGTCCTTATTAGAGGTCCGAGAGATCTTGCTTCTCTGCTCTCTGCCAATGGAGGATATAACAAGTGAGCAGTCTGCAGCTTGGAAGATGGTCCTTACCAGAATCCAGCCGGGTAGCACCCTGATGTTAGATTTCTAGTCCTCCAGAACTCAAGAAGTTGTTTATAAACCCCCCAGCCTGTGGCAGCTTGTTTTAGCAACCCAAATTAAGATAGGTTGGTTCAATTTTATTTTCTTTTCACTGTTGTGGGAAACTCAAATCTTAAGGGAAAGCTACAGTTTTAAACCTTCCAGTGATAATTCTGGATATTCAGATAGCAAAAAAAAAAAAAATATTTTAGAGACTCAGTGAATACAGTCTTTATGGAGGGGGTTAGAGTCAATGACTAGAAAGTGAAGTAAGCTACACTTCTCATGGAAATTCTAAAAGATTAAATAAAAATAGAACCATAGTTCAGTTGTATTCATATGAAGGCATTTGAGGGCCTACTATGTACCAGGCAATGGAAATACAAATATAAATGGGAAGTATGCTTTTAGTCTTGAAACACAGAAGATAGAAGTAACAGGCAATGGCAGGGTAGTGTGAAGAGAAATACGACAAAGTACTGTGTATTTCAAGAAGGAAAGATCCTTTAACTGTTGATCTGGGGAAGGTTTTGTGCTAGAAGTGGCATTGTGCTGTTTTTCTGTCTTTTGTTTCTGCGGTGCTGAGGATTGTACCCAGGGCCTTGTGTGCACTAGTAAGCTGTGTTTGAAGTCTTGGAAGCATTTTACCAGACAGAGGGGAACAGCGTATGCAAAGTATGAAGGCGCGGATACAGCGCGGGTTGGCATAGCGCGGGTTCAGTGTAATCCAAGGATAGCATGCAGAGTACGCTTTGCCTAAAAGTGTAGCACTCAATAAATTTGGTTGGCTACATGGATGAATGAAAGCACGAATGGTATACACGCACCAGGCACTCTTCTATATGAGCTGGGGAACAGAACTCCTTTCTTTGGGAAAGTGATCTTTGAAACACAGTCCTTGCTTACATTGGAAAATGTATACTCAGAAGTTAATACTAGTTTATCTTAGGGATTTTGTCTCTTGGTTAGTTAACACAAGGAGCAGTGTCTTTTCAGCCCTGGAATTAAGTGCCAAAATGTAATGATTGCCAGAATGAAAAGTAAATGATCTAATTCAGCACTCCTTCAGTTCATCTAGATGGAATTAGTATTTGCCCTTTTTTTTTGCCATCTGGTTCAGAAGTTCATTTATTTCACCTCAGCCAGTAGTCTCAAAGTGATGGTGTGAACCTTGGCACACAGAAAATTTATTTTTGAATTATAGGAAGAAAAATTTACATCTCTATTTATGCTGCTGTTTATACCATTATTTTATTTGTTTTTGTGTATAAGATACAGACACATATATACACATGCGTATGCTTCACACAACTTGCACCTGTACAACATATACATGCACACATGTACACACAAGTATGCTTCATTCTCTGCCTTTTTTATTTTTCTGGGCACTTGTTTTCAGAAAGGTTTGATATCACTGATTTAAGCCATCAGTGTAAAATGTTTCCAAAGGGATCCTAAAGTATTTAAAAATTATATCTTGGTTATAAAAAGAATATGCTTAAATAATTTAATGCCAGTTTAAAGGAAACAACTTTAATGAAATAAACACAATACATTATAATTCATGTTTAATAACAGAAGCATGCTTGCAGGTACTTTAGATTGTTTATACCTACTTAGCTTTCAAAGAAAATTTGTATCATATTTTCTTAGTGCTCTGGTAACGAAGTCCATAACATGCTTGCTGTACCAGTCCAGTGTCTGCTATTTCCTTCCTGAATTGGTCAGAAATCGGGATTGTAGAGGTCTTTGTGCCATCAGGATGTGGCCTTCCAGGGTGCTCTTATTTGGCACAACACTGACATCTAGAGTCAGTTGTGGCTAATTTCTTCTGAGGTTTTCTCTGTTTCACATTCTGCTTTGAATTTTCCATATTTTGGAATTTATATTCTTATTCTATTCCCTATTCTCACTTTTTGTTGGTGGCATGATATTTATTTTGCATACCCTGGTAAGGAAATATGTACTTTTTCATTGCCCCATTAAAATATTAGAGGAAATAATTTTTGCTCCAAGGTACTTTTCAAAATGAATTCTTCTAACTCAAATTTCAGCATATTTCTCCTTCTCTTTATGCCTTCCCGCTGATGCTAATTGTTCCATCATTTCTACCACCCACAAAGACATTTCTTCCACTCAGGATTGAGTCATGTGGTTGACTTCAAATCTTCAGGGTAATCGCCATCACACACTTATTAACATGTTAAATGAAACAGATGTAGGATACATGTCAGAAAATTTTTTGAAGCTGCATGCCTATAATCTGATTAGGTTGCTTAGAATTTTATTGGTAAATTAGGAAAGAACTTTTCAATTGCATTTTGTTGGGTTTTAATTACTATTAGTTGTAGCTTCCTTACGCCCTGGCCGCCTTTTTTGCAGCCAGTTGTCTTTTCCTTTTACCTTTATTTTTTTTTTTTAAATGATCTGATTGGTGCATTTCCATAGCTTCTGGAGTTGGATTTTCAGTGAATTAATTGAAAATCAAAATGTATCTATGGTCTTTCACAGTTGGAAAATTCTCTTCTGTTTTCATAAATATTGTCTTTCTCCTACAATAGAAAATAATGAATGGTGTTTAAGGTATGTAACCAATGATGCCATCCTCCATCCCACATATAAGCTGCTCTGCCACCTTGCATTCTGGGTCCTAATTATCCTTCCAGTAGGATGTTGGGACTGAAAAATAATTTTCTTGTCTAGATGTCATTGGCAAAGCCCTGGGTGGGAACTTTACAGTTCTTACTTCTAGGCCTTCCTTCAGGCCACTTACTTTTGCCTCTTTGTTGAAGAAAATTCCTTAGCCTCAGTAAGAAAAAAGTATGAATGAACAGGCATTTGTAATTATTTCGAGTGCTGTCCTAAGTAACTGAACCATTGTCTTTATATAAGTATTTGTACATACACTGAAGGATGAAATGACTACTTGGACAACATTCTCTCTCTCTCTTTTTCTTTTAATATACTTTTTACAACTTTATTTATTTATTTATTTTTTAATGTGGTGCTGAGGATTGAACCAAGTGCCTCACCTGTGCTAGGCAAGCGCTCTGCCACTGAGCTACAGCCCCAGTCCCACAACATTCTCTTGAGTTAAAATTCTTTTTAAAATAAAAAGGGTTAAAAATAACCACACCTTATAATCACTTTGCTGTTGGCATTTGGTCTCAGATGCAGTTTAAGAGGAAAATATTGTCAGTTGTGTTTAATTTCACTATCTGTGTACATTTTAAGTCTGAGAATCTGACTGTGTATCATGGAAACAGAGTTCCTGTTGTGCTGTCGGAAAATCCTGTTTATGTAGGACTTTCATCAGAATGTATTATAGATAATACAGATGCACTCTACCTGTCACTCCAACCCCAAAGACTGAAGAAATACTCATTTTTATATCATTAGCTCTATCTTTTCTAATGTGAAGTTTTTGTTTTATCAGTAATAACTAATTTAAAAAAGAATTTGATCTAGGCACCATGGCATATGCCTGTAATCTTGTGACTTGAAAGTCTGAGGCAGGAGGATCACACGTTTGAGACCAACCTGGGCAACTTAGTGAGGCCCTAAGTAGCTTAGTGAGACCCTATTGCAAAATAATAAATTAAAAGGGATGAGGATGTAGCTCAGTGGTAGAGTGCCCCTGGGTTTATCCCCAGTACTGGGACGGTTGGGGGGGGGCATAAAACAAGAGCAAAAAACCAATCACTTTTTAATCTACAAAAGCATCCTTGTCTGTATTGAAAATATTGTCCTTGTCCAGTGTGTTTCTGAGTGTTCAGTGTCACTTAAGATACCAGCCTGGGGCTATTTAATATTGTATCAAATGCCCTTTGTTATGTATTTATTAAAACAGGTTCTGTGTAAAAATGCATTTTATGTGAAGGTCTTTTTTCAGATTCTTTTAAAGGAAAATATGTATTGACAGCTTGTTGGCAGCCTAGTTTTTTTCTGTGAAGCATGCTTTGTGCCTGTATTGCATCTTTTTGGCATTTTATACTTACAAGTTGTGGGCCTGTTTCTGCGTATCTTTTGTGATATAGTTCTTGAGCAATTTCCTGAAAAATACGTCGAGCACTTTTCTTCTGTAAATACAAATGAGAAAAAGATCTCTATTTCAGGAGCATAAGTGATGATTTGTGCACATCATCAGAGCTTTTTCTTTATTTACTGTCACCAGTCTCAGAAACTACATACCAACACATCTGCACTACAGCTAACTCTTTAGTATTTTGAGTCTATTCAAAGGGTGGAGAGCTGTCAAGTTGAAATCACAGCTAAGCGCTTGAGATTATCATGAAGATTCTCAACAGTTAGGAAACATTAGTATCTGGTTGAAACACATACTCTCTGTGTTTCTTAAACTATTTTGGATTTGAAATACTTACAACTAGCTACAATTTAAAAAATATTTTACCTTTTGTGAATCTTCTTTTGTTTCTCTGTTTCTTAGAATATTAGATTTTGACTGTCAAGAAGAAAAGGAAAGTCTGTAAATATTTTATGCACTTACAATAATTGTGACAGATGTGTCATACCATAATAGGATTAAACTAACAATATTTAAATGATATACAATAAGTATTAATAGTTTTCATATTATTTCTGAGATGCTTTTATTTCTTTAGTAAACTAACTCAAACTAATGTTTATTGTGGAATTTGTAGTACTTCTAACATAAGACATAAACATCCGCTCTTAAGACATATGTAAAGTCAAGTTATATTCTTTTTAAATAAGTTTAGGCCTTTTTGAATAGTTGAAGGCAGCTTCTACTCTCTTCACTAATCTCTTCTGCTCTTAAAAATTATTCTTAGGACTTTCATAGATGACAGTAACACTCCACCACCTGCTACCGCTTCCCCACCCCTCACTTCTACAGAAGAAAGCTAGCATAGAAGATGGCTTCTTAATCCCACATTACTGAATTTAAAGAGAAAACACTATAAATCATGTATTCTTGTTAATTTCAGTGCTGGAAATCTATGCCTCCTATGGCCCTCCTCTGCATGCGATGATCCCTGCAGAAGCAGAGGGAGATGTTCATTAGGTGAGCTGTATCTGAGGCTCAGTGATTATGGAGAGATGGAGATAATTTTCCGTTTAATATTTAAGGCTTTGGGGACATCAGTGCGAGAACATTTGACTTACCTTGGAGAGGACTGTGAAGGCCACACATACCCCAGTAATGTAGATGGAGAGCAGCACTAAGAGCACTGTCAGGAGACTCTGCAGTTCCTTGCTGAGAAGCTTACTTTCTTAATAGTGGAAACAGAAAGAAACAGTCACTGTGGAGGCATATTCTTGCACATGTATGTATGTGTAAAGTATCATTGAAGCTACAAGTTACAGGTGAAATATGGACTCATTCTGTTTGCCTGTTCATGTAAGCTTCTTTGGGGGGAGTCTTTTGATTCGGAAGATATTAAAGTATATGATAGTTAAATCCATTTCTTCAGTTCTTTAAATGTTTTATACTAAAAATGATACTTGCTAGAGATAAAAATATTTAAAAATTCAAAAATTTGATTAACCATCTGGTACAGTGCATTACTTAAACTTTTGAACCTAGTGTGTTCAAGGGCATTTAAGTTTTCTTTTGTTAGAAATAGTGTACAAATGTCATTGAGTCTGCTTATGAAGTTAAAATATTTTCACATCATTTGTGAGTGATGTCATGTATAATCTTGGAACTATTATAGTGAATGGTGGTGTCTGTTAAAAACTCAAGCTAGGTATGGTGGTGCATGCTTATAATCCCAGTGACTTGGAAGGCTGAGGCAGGAGGATTGCAAATTTGAGGCCAGCCTCAGCCACTTAGCAAGACCCTGTCTCAAGAAAGGGTTGGGATGGATGGAGTCAAGAAGATAATGCTAGGTGAAACCTAGCATCCCCATCCCCCAAAACCAAATACTGAATGTTTTCTTTAATATAAGGAGGCTGATTCATAGTGAGATAGGGAGAGGGAGCATGGGAGGAATAGATGAACTCTAGATAGGGCAGAGGGGGTGGGAGGGGAAGGCAGGGGGCATGGGGTAAGAAATGATGGTGGAATGTGATGATCATTATCATCCAAAGTACATGTGTGAAGACATGAATTGCCATGAATATACTTTGTATATAACCAGAGATATGAAAAATTGTGCTCTATATGTGTAATAAAAATTGTAATGCATTCCACTGTCATATATAAATAAAATAATAATAATAAAAAAGGGCTGGGGATGTGGCTCACTGGTTAAGTGTCCCTGTGTTCAATCCCAGTACCAAAAAAAAAAAGCCTGTGAAGGCCCTCCATTGAGGATCATAGTATCCACTGCTTGCCTAAAAGAACTGCACTCTATTTTTATGCATGTATGAGTTTGTTGGGATGAACCCAACTACTATAATTATAAAGCACTAATAAAAAATCTTAATAAAAAAAGGCATACTATTATGACATATGTGCTTTCTGCTAAAAGTTCTAAGGTGAAATTACTGAACCCATTTTCACATTCTGAGTGTCTCCCGACAGGAGACATTCAGTGTTCTGTGCTCTAGGGAGAGATTAAGTAACATGCCAAGTCTTTTGATTATTTAAAGTACAGAGTCCAATTAGGTTTAAAGTTATTATTCCAACCAAGTATCCCCTTGATTCTTATCAGTACATACATTTTTACATGTGAAACTAACAAATTAACTCTATACAACTTTTAAAAAATGTTTTGGTGCTAAATTAGCATCTCTGTAGAAAAGTCAGGAATCTTAGCAACTTTTCAATTATGTACAACTCTTTTTGTGATCTTCATCTCTAAGCCATTTTCTTTTCTAATAATTTTTTTATAGAAGGTTAATGCAGTGAGGCATATGAGTCTCTGAAGTCATCGTGTGTTTTCATATCGGTAGCTGACATTTATTGAGTATTTGCCATGTGTCAGGCAGTATTATATTCTTTATATGTGTTAACTCATTTCTGATTTTCTTACAGGTGAGAATAAACTTCATTAGAATAAACTAAGTGACATTCAAGTATCAAAAGCCTATTAGAATACCCCTAGTAGTCAAAAGCAGGGATCATAATACCAGACAGTCTTAGATCCTTAGAGTCCTATTTTAAAAATAAAGAGCTGGTTGATTTTGAGATGGTGTTTGAATGGAATGATCTCAGCTCATTACATAGGAGAGTCGTTTTTTAATGGCAAGAGGTCCAAGATTGGCAAAGTGCTACTGCCCTTTTTTTCCTTCCCCCAGAATCATGTGAAGCTTTTTCACTGAAGTTTCTCTTTTTCTTTTCTTTTCTTTTTTTTTTAAGAGGTGGGGTCTCACCATATTGCCTAGGCTGGCCTTGAATTCTTGAGTGCAAGCAATACTCCTGCCTCAGTATCTCCAGTAGCTGGGACTACAGATGTGTGCCACCTTGATATTTCATAATCTCAGACTACTGAGATTATGAACTGACTTTTTGAAATTACTGATAGGAAAATCCTCACTTGAGTGAGAGATTATCAGGGGTGTTAGCAGATCTCTAGAAGCTATTCTTTCTTGTCCAGGCAGAATGAGAAGGGCCAGGGATCCACCAGTGTGTTCTCTCCAAATTTGTATTTATTCCCCATGATGCATTTATTTCCTGGGTCTAGTTTATTGACTGTTTATGCTTTTCTAGTATATTGTTCTAGGTGGAGTAATTCTAGACCAGTTCCTGAGAAAGCTGAGTTAATCACAAGGTTCCCTGTGGAATTGGTGCCTTACACCTAGTCCCTGTTGTAGACAGGAAAGAAGAACATGGTTGGTCATTCTTCATTAGTCAAATTTGGGTATGGAGACAGAACACAGTACCCAGCATGCTACTGACTGTATCTGGGTTGAATGGGTCTTGAATCCAAACCTATGGTGACTTGTGCTCCTCACATCACTGGCTAGGGTATTAAATTACCAGTTTATCTCACAGTTGCATGGAAGTGATGTGAAGATTTTAAAGGTCTGAGCAAAATGTGATGACACACAGAAAAAAAGCCTTCATTGACTGACCTCTTACCACCAGTATGGTCCCTTCTCCAGTTTGCTTGGCTCTCGCTGTCTTTTCTCTAGGAAATGCTATTCCACAGATGTAAATTGCACTGTCATTTGATGTCACCCTGTTGACAGTGAGAGAAACTCGGTTCTGGGCCAGGGCTTCCCCCACTGTGAATTTGTCCGTTTCACTTCTGCATCCATCCAAGCACAGGTTCTCAGGCTGCTGAGCGCCATAGCGAAACCACAGGCTGATGGGTTGCTCTGAAGGGCATTCAGTTGTGGAGAAGGTGCACTCTATAGTGACAGCCTTGTGAGTATAGTCCACCTCTAGGTAATGTGGCTGCCTAACGGAGACAGTACAGGCACCCACAGCACCTGGGGAGGAAGCAGGTGAGTGCTTAGCAGGCTGCCCTCATTTTGCCGGTGCTGCTTTCTCTGATGTTTTGGCGGGAACCCAGCCGTTCCTTTCTTTTTCTTACCTTACTCTCAATACAAACAAGACTGTAAAAATAAGACACAGTGATCCTCACTTGTCCTAACCCCATGATTCCTGACCTGGTTGCATGCCATCTGGTTACTTGAAGACAGCCCCAGAGAGGTTCAGTGGAGCTAGCCAGGCAAGCCGAGGCACCAGCATATCTGGGGTCAGAAGTTTGGGGTCCTGTACAACCTCTCCTTTGATCTTGGGCAGATCACATCATCCCTTAGAACCTGTTTCCTCCCCATACCCCTTTCCCGTAAGAGTGTTGTATTCAGCGTGGTCAAGTGTTTCAAAGCTTCTCATACAAATGTTACTGCCACTGATTGAGCTCATGAGCGGGAGCAGGGTTTTTCTTTTTTTCTTTTTGTCTTACGGGGTTTGGGATAGCTGGCAATTCATGGCGGTTTACAATGGTTCCTTTGTGAGCCCAGTGTCCATACTGGAAGCATGATAAAAGGCAAGACATACACCTGTGGAAATGCAGCCTTGGCCTCGCCTGCACCATCTTTGGTTACAGAGCAGAGGTCAAGTGAGTGAGTCCTACTGTGGCTAGCAGGTTTGGTTTCTTCCTGGCACTTGTACACTGCACTGTAGGCCCTGTAACATTTATCCTATTTGACTAACAGTATTGTGTGATAAAGAGCCACGGACTGGTTCAAATCCTGACTCTAATGGTTCTAGCTCTGTGATCTCTGTGTCGCTTCCCTCATCATGGTGGGGATGATGTGTTGACCTTATGCAGTTTGAGTCAAGTTCTAGTCCAGTGATGTATAAAGAGTATTTATTTGCCTAAGCTACAGTAAGTTTTCAATAAAACATAGGTCTTTCTGCTCCTGCCCCTGCCACTACCAATGTCCTCCTAGTGCCACGTGCTCATTTTAGAGATAACTATGGGCACCTATGTACGGGTGTTCATAGAACTAGCCTTAACTCCCTGTCCAGTGCTCTCCCCATTGTGTGATGCTGCTTGGAGTGTGGGTCCCCACCTGGGTCTTCTAACACCAGGCATATGAAGCTGGAAAGCCACTCAGGAGCTTGTAAATGGGAAGGCCTGCCCCAAGCCCTTTCTGGGGACATCAGAGCCCTTAGATAAAACACTACTGGTTAAGTCAGATGGGGATTTATGCAAATTTTTGTCTGCTTTTTGCCTGGTTGTGTTTCCAACTGGTCTTATTGGTCTGAGTGTATCTTATAAATGAAATTAAAAAGTAATTCAGGTGTCTGATGTTTAAGTTTCAGACAGGGGCTCTTTTTCACTTAACTTTTTTCTTCTACATCCCCCACCCAAACAGTAGAGGAATTAAAATTAGAATCATGGTATTTGTGATGAGAAACTTTTCTTAACCATGTTTTAATTTTAGAATTTGTACAGTTTGAGATGAGCTGGGAACTTTGAGTGACCTGAAACACATAAACCTGATGACAGGGTGAAGTCAATCACCTGGGGAGGATGTGGGTTGGGTTTCCTGGGGCTTTGTGTCTGTGGAGGCTCAGCTGAGCTGGGTTTCCTGCTGAGGGGCCAATTCACTCCCAAGTCTGTTTGCTTCACTCTCTGTCTCCTGTTCAGGCTCAGTCACTTTAAAAGTCCAGAGGAACACTTCACTATATATATTTATATATTGGAAATTTGAAATGGAATTGGACCTGTCAGAATGTAACTGTAAAACAGTGCCTCAATCTCAAATTGTCTGCTGGGTAAAGTTTTAAAAGGGAAACTAACTTTTAACATTTTTTGTTAAGAACTGGTGCGCAGGGTAAGTAATATGAACATTTGCAACTTAGAAGGGTCCTGTCTCTCCTTAGTCTGAGGTGGGTGAAAACCAGTTGTAGAGGTTTTCTTTGACAGGCAGAGACTGGTGAGAAAGCTGCTCTTCTCTCCCCCAGCAGTGAAGCAACATGTTAGCAAAAAGAGAAGTTTGGGTAACGGTGCCCCACAGCCCCTTCCCGTAAAACATTCTTTCACAAGTTCCAGTGTTCCCTAGGCCCTTTGTTGTTGTTGTCAAGTTGGAAAATATGTAGAGAACTAGTTTTTGACACTTAAAAAGCTTATCATTATAGAACATTTCAGACGATCAGAGCAGCAGCCTAGCGGAGTGGAGCCTGCCGTCCCTGCTGCAGCCTCAGCTTCCAGCCTCCCTCCCCACCCCACTCCCAATTAGGGTGGACTCCACATGTTTTGTTTGCACAGTTTTTAGACTGTGTTGGGATTTTTCTTTAAAATAGTTTGTAAAAGTAATATATACTTATGGGAGAAAAACGGAATAGAAGCAAGAAGCAAGCAAGAAGTCACTGCACTCCTTTTGCTTAAAATAACCACTGTTAACATTTTGATGTATTTCTTTATAAATGAGAAAACTAATATCAATTTTAAGAATTTTGCCCCCTTCCCTATAATGCAAATTTTGTGGGCTAATCTGAGGTTATTAGAACTGTGATGAAAGAAACCCTTTCTTTTTCATAGAGAAAAAACATGGGTGTAGGCAGAATTTTAAAAATGGACATATTATGAAATGGCTGTTCTCTCTAAGAGTTTTGGCGTTAAAAAATAATAAGGACTTTAAGTTTACAGAAGTTCAGCTTTTTAGAAATACTGTTATTCCAGAGTGTTCATTCAGCAAATACTATTCAGTGGGTGCCATGTGCAGAGCAAATTTGCTTGTATAGGAATTAAATTGTTAGTGACCAGCACATGTGATCTTAACTGCATTTTCAGTTCTTTGGTGAGGTTTTTCTCTAATGCAGCATAATGCAAAGGGAATTTCAAGGTTAATATGAAACTTTTCCTCAGCTATTATTTATTACCTGTTCCTCTGGAAAAAGAGGAAACTTATCATCTTAGACCTAAATTTCCATAATATTATACATTTAAAAATTATTCTGTAGAGCTTAAAAAGTAAATGCATTAGGCAAAAGAACAATTAATTTAAATAAAATGGAGAAGGAAAAAAAAATACCTTACCGACATAAAATAGAACCAGATTGATTTCTAGACCGAGAAGGATCTTGCCTCTGTTCACAGTCTCCATTTCTTTCTGTATGCGTGCAGTTGTCGGGGGTGTGTTTGAAGAGTTGGGTATTTTTTTCCTCTTTTCTTTTTTTAGAAAGGAAGAACTGAAGAGAGGAACTCTTATTTAGGAACCATAATCGGGAACTTTTTGAAATTGTGTAAAGATGGTTTGTTGCAAAGTTTCACCATTTAAAGTTGAGCACATTTCTAAATGCCCACTTATACTTTTTGTGGATTGGATTATATAAATTCTCACAAGTATTAGATGGTTTGTATGAGGTTTTGCTTTACACATAGTGTGTGTTTCCTAAAAGGACTTTTGTTTCACAGGTGGTACTTTACAGACCAGTCTGGTTGCTGGTTGGGTCACCACTGTGTTTTGGGCCAGTAACTGCTGGCTGTGGGGAAGGAGTAGAAAGACGTGTCTTCTTGTGGGACCAAGCGAATTAGTAAGAAATACACCCTCTGTCATTAACTGGTTGTGCCCAGCTCTGAATTTAAAGACCTCTTTTGAATGTGTTGTGAGTAGATGCGCAGGCCCCTGTGCTCTGGGTCCTTGACACCCCTGGTCCTCTTATATCATGAGGCAGGTTAGCTGCAGGAACTGACTCAGGCTGACTTAGGAAAAAGGAAACTTATTGGCAGGGTTGGGGTGGCCTGCAGAGTCCCTGGGAAGTCTGGAGAATCATGCATGGGGTCTACGGCTGGGAAGAATATGCCAAGTCACCCTGTAAAGCTGGTCTAAGAGTGTATCGCAGCAGCGACTGTCCTGGTACCACACAGCTGCTGTCCAGCCATGTGATTTCCCTGCCACTGCACTGACCTCCAGAGAAGGTCATCGTGTGTCCATCATGTGTCCCAGGTCTTGAGTGAGTGTGTCTGAGCCTGGGTCATGTGCTACCACCTTGCTGTGGGGAGGTGGGGAGAGCCCATGCTTAGACTTGGCCTCTCGCAGGGAAGCCCCCGACCCAGGAAGAGGATGCAGGGCTGGGACACTGAAGATCCCTACCACGCTTTTCACTCTGGTGTTCTCTCTCTTGCCACTGCTGATGACATATTTTCTCATGAACAGAAAGTTATTTTCAGTCTGAATTTTATAACACATTTAAGAATATATGTATTTTTTTTACATTACCAATGCACCTAAAAGAACCCCTAAATTTAATTATACTTTCATCTTTGCATGTGTATCTGTAGTTAACGCTTGGTTTGTCTGTGAACCTGAAACATTGCTTGGTTTCCCCACTTTCCAGGCGTCTCATAGGTTTGGAAATGGCCGACGGTTGCCATTCCAAGAAATACCAAGCAACTCCCTACTTTCTAGTGTCCTTTCTCTCTCTGGACTACAGATTAATTCTTTATGAAATTGTTCTGAAAAGTTAGGGAATGGGACAACTTGAAAAACACACAGATGGTCTGTTTTTATAAAAACCCATCATGAGCCTATTTTATTTCAGCCTGATAAATCTCTTTAGGTAATAGTTGAGTAAGTTTACTACGTCAGCTATATGTTCTTGCAGTTGTCTAAAACTCTCTTTGAAATAATATATGACTTTCTGATTCATTATTCTAGTATTCAATGACCAGTTTTCCAAACCCATTTACCATTACAATCTCCAGTGAATCCGAAGGAGGTGTCCTCTGAAGCTCTGTCAGGGAAGATGGAAATGTGGACTTGGGTTCAGACAAACCTGGGGTTACATATCTGCTCTGATGTCCATTAGCCCTGCACCTCTGGGCAAGTTCTTTAGCTTTCCAGTCCGCCCACCCTTCTCAGGGGCTGCTGGGAGTATGAAGGAACTGACTCATCCACACGTCCCATGCTTGGAACATACCAGGTCCTAGGAAACTCATTTGTTCAAGAATTTAACTTAATGTTTTTATTTGTTTTAGTAGGTGGCAAGTGGGAGAAACCATCAGAAATTTTGGAAATCAAGGGACAGAATTGGGAAGAACAAGTGAATAGCCTGCCTGAGGTGTTCAGAAAAGCTGGTTTTGTTATCGAAGCTTTCACCAGACTGCCATACCTGTGCGAAGGTGACATGTATAATGACTACTATGTTCTGGATGACGCTGTCTTTGTTCTCAGACCAGTATAGACTCATGGAGGCCAGAGTCTGCAGAGTCTGCCCCAGGATCTACCCTCCAGAAGAGGGTTCACAGTTATGTGATGGGAGGACCTTTGGGGACGGCCATTCTAAATATCATGTAGGAATTTAAAAAGCCAAAATACTAATTATTTCTTTGTAGTGTGTAAAAGGAATGTTTTTAAAAAACAAAAACCCAACTCTGGATTTTTATCAACTCTTTACTCAGTTAGAGCTGTTCTTCAATGCAGGTCACACTCCAGTTATGATGGAAGATATTTTTTATACTTAATTGCAGTTGGGACTCATTCCCAGACAAAGCAATAGTCATGACTTCATGGAGCCAATAAACGGATTGTTTTTAATAAAATGAAGACTGGCAATAAAGCTGTCCATTGAATTCCAAATATTGGTTGTAAGGTATAGCCACTGATATTCTTTCATGTTTAGAAACTCTGTTATTCAAGAAAATGTTTTTAATCATGCTAATAAACTTTTTTTGGAGATGACTTTGGCATCATGTTTGAGTTACTACAAGGCTTCCCTAGTGGTTTTCTTTTTTTTTTTTTTTTTTTTTTTTTTACTACTTTGGCATCAGGAGTCCCCAAATAGTAGCATTATGTGAAAGATGCTGACAACCTGGGTATGTGGTGAAGGAAGGCTTCAGACTGGGGCTGGGGGAGGATGCAGGTCTCAGTGAACACCAGGCTGTCTAGGTACCCCCAAAGACTCACCCTAGTCAGTGCTGCTTTGAAAAAATACAGAATCCTTGGTTCTGACCTTGGGCTAGCTTATACCCCATGTGTATAACTTGGTTTTCTGGGTCATCTTAGGTTCTCAGAGTTAAAACTTTCTATTGTATTTACTAACAATGCAACCTAAAAATGTTTTAATTCAACTACTTACTTAATACTTGTATACCTCCTCCCCTAAGCTTTGTTCTTTCTAGAATCCTTAACTGAGTTTATTATTTGCCAAGGGTATGGTTTGCTGAATACCATGTCAGACATGCATTCTAGAATCCATGAATGCCTCCGACCATAAACCTAGAAATATTGTAATAGAGGAACTCATTAGCAAGATCAATAACCATTGTGGATATTCCAAAGATCACAGCACTTAACACAGATCCTAAAATCTCAGTAATAACAGAGATGCCATTTGAGATTGTGGATATTAACAATATGTTATTCTCACAACGTTACTTCATTTTTCATCCAGGTGTTTCATTAAGTATTCTCATATACGTACTCATAGAAGTCATCAAATCAACACATTAACTGCAACACCTGGTATAAAGGAGATTTAAAGCCTTGAGATGAATTACTTTATTGTTCATTAGGAGTAGCATTCCCACATTCTCCCACCAATATCTTCCACTATTATTGTGCATTCATAATAAGAATTGGGTTACGTGATTTATGCAAAATTGTTATTGGTGTGTTCTAATGATTTCTTCCAGGAATTAGAAAAAGTGAAGTACAGATATTTTGCAACCTAGATTGTGTAAATAGAGGAAATGAGTAAACCCAATGTAGTTCTTATACACTGGAGATTTGCTTCTTTCTTAAACTGTTATAATCAGGGGTTGCTGTTTTAAGATAGTACTTTGAGAATTAATTTGATGGCCTATTAAAAGAAAACACAACTCATTCTTTACCCAGGAAAGCAGAGGAATTACATACATTTATGCATTTTAAAGATAAAAATCGTTTCTCAAAATCTTAGCTTCTCTGAGGACCAAGTTGTTAAAAGGTGCCATTCTGCCCTGAAAGTTGAAACCTGAATGCACTCACGTTTCTGTCTGGTCTTAAAAGTCCTGGTGGTGCGTCACAATTCCACTAGATGGCAGTGTTGCTTAGGAGTGTTAATCACTTTTTTTCTTCCCTAAGTGGACTCTTTTTCCCCTGCAAAGTATAATAAAGCTGCCTTGTCTGCACCATTTCTTGTGTAAAGTTCTTGATATCAAGTTAAAGTTGTGGTAGAAAAATGAAGAAGAGGTAGCCACTTGACCCTACAGGGCAAGGGAAAGGGATGCCGGCTGCACCTGCGAGTCCTGGCTCCTTCCTCCTGTATTCTAAACCCCTAGAGTGTTCAGACTGCTGACTTCAGAGAAGGGAAGAAAAGAAGTCACAAGGCCCTTAGTCATTTCTCCCGTGAGTGGAGTGGTTAAATTTCTGTAATTTCTCTCATCCTGTTGGATGAGTCTTTATATAGCTGATGTGTGTAACAGAAAGTGGGCTCTGTTGGGCAACAAAGTAAAACTTGGGTGTTTCCAGATGTCTTTGTTTTTACTTCGTTCTGAGTACAGTAGTACCAGCTTTGTAATGAAGCAAGATATTTACATCAGTGCCTCCCGTCATTTGGTTAGGGATAAAGGTGGTCCACGGTCGTTCCTCTAACAATAGTAGCATTTTCATCATGCGTATGTGGTGGCTAATATGACCTGCAGCATTTGTTCAGATGCCTAAGTACCCCCAGATTATGTTCTATCCCATGGATGTGTTAGAGAACTGAATCAGTAGTCTGGGAGTTCACAGAGCACAAAATGCGGTCATAGTTAACTAGAACAACTAGGATGCTTACAAATTGAACAACCCACTTACCAGAGATATAAGTTTACACTATATCCACACCTAAGAAACATTTGTGATCTAAATGAAGAAAAATACACCCAGAAACTAAAAAGAGTAGAATTCAGTCTGTTTGCAGCTAATGGATACTAAGATAACAGCCAAGCAGCAGTGAACAAAGGTAAAGAAGAATCTCATGTGCAGTTGTAATGGACTCCACCAGATCTTTAACCATGCCATGCCAAACCTTGCTGTTCCCAGTTAATTTCTTTACTCCTGTGCTTTTTCTGAAAGTTCTTTGTCAAGCAGGTATGATCTTAAACTGCTGTGTCTTCAAGGAGGTTTGTGTAAAGGATGGAAAAAACTTTGAAGTATAGATTACTGATAACTTTCAATCACACCATCAGATTGGAATTTGGAATACCCACAAGCCCTCCACAACCACACAGCACGCTGGCTCGTTCTGCGAGACCCTACTTCAGCCCATGAGACCAGCAATTCCACCCGTGAAACTGCACCTCAGCCTGGGACACTCACACCTTGTCCCCCAAGGTAAAGAAAGGCCTTATGGAAGGTGAGCAAAGCCCTGACAGGGACAGGTGGAACAGTTAGTGGCTCTCAGGCAGTTGGTGGCCTTCTGCCGAAAAGAAAATAAAGGTAGAGGAACATACCATAATTGACCACTTGGAAATGTCCAGCACCCTTTGGGAAGATGTACTGGTCCTATGTAAAAGGCCAATGCATAGCATATGAAAAAGGTGCTGCTCTCAACTTGCCCCCAGCCTTCTAAAATTTTTGCTGCATCTGGACATTCTAAATTTAAAGAATGGATGATAGAGTTAGAAATGATGTCTTGTAAGTGCCTATTAAAAAATCAGAAGTTTCTTCTGGAAGTGACTTTAAAATTGATCTGGAGCACTTGCCCATGTTTGTTCAGTGGGTTAGAAGACATGGAGAGGACTTTGTGACAAGAAGGAGCTCCTGTGCTAGATGGGTTTTATGTATAAGACATTCTCCTATTATAACCATTGTTTTGTGTATACATTTTATTCTTCATTACTGTATATAGTTATAAATGCTAAGTATTTTTTTTTTTAAATATCTAGACTTTCTAGATGTTCTAAAGTGCCTGGAATATGTTAAAAGTAGAAGTGGTAAAATAGAACACATTTTGTAAATTTCTTTTTGTTAAAATTCTTATGAATTTTTATTTGGTCGGGAGGGGGCAATAGCCAACATCCTGCTGAACCCCCAGTTGTGTGCTGGTCCTCAGGAGTACCCTGCCAGTGTGCTTACGATGAGACAAGACTTGTTCCTTATGTCTATGGGTTTATTTTACTTTGCTGTGTGCATAGTGTATACAAAGGGCAAACGAGTCTCAATCTACATCTAATCATTTTAGGTGTTAAAGAGATTTCCAGTGTATGAAAAAAGTGGAATTAGTCAACAAATTTTGTATGATTTGTGTTAAAATTCCTAGGAAAGATTGTTCTTCTGAAAAATTGAGCATTGTAGCCCACTGGGTCAGTGAAGGAAGGCCAGAATGCTCATATTTTAAAGTCATTTTCAAATTAGAACTATTGTTACATGTGTGCAGTTTGTTCAAAACTGTTGTGTACATAGTGGACATAGTGAGTCCTTACTTGAAACATCTAGTGTGTCTAGATGTTTAGAAGTGTCCAAGGTATGTTAACTGTAGATATAGTAAAATATCACTTTGTAAATATCTTTTTGCTAAAATTCACATGAAATATTGTCTTTTGGGAATGGAACTGTTAAAGCACCTTGGCAAGTAGTATAGTACTATCTGTACTTGTCCAGTGATGTGGAGTTATATGGAAGAGGTGAGAGGGAAGCAATTTCAAAAGGTAGTATGTCCGTGAGTGGACATATTCAGACATCAATTTTCTGTATGTTTTGTGCATTTTGTTTTGCTGTGTATTATAATGCACAAGTAAGTCCCAAATTTGCAACATCCAGTCTCTAGATGTCAAAGAGGTTGATGGTAGTTAATAAAATTAACACATTTTGTATTGAAATTCATAGGAAAGCTTGTCCTCTGAAAATGACTTTTGGATATGAATTGGTTCAACCATCTTTAAGCATTACTATGCTCATACTTGTCCACTGGACTGAAAGTAGAAAAAATTGAGGAGGGAAAGGATCAAGGACAAAATTGTCATATATTAGAGGATACCTCAGAATATAACTGTTGCTATGTGTGCAATTTTATTTACTAGTGCTGTGTGCATAGTGGACAGGTTCTTTTTTTAATATTTATTTTTTAGTTGTAGTTGGACACAATACTTTTATTTATTTTTATGTGGTGCTGAGGATTGAATCCAGGGCCACACACGTGCGAGGCAAGCACTGTACTGCCGAGCCACAACCCCAGCCCCAGTGGATAGGTTCTTTTGTGGAATATCTACTCCATCTATATATTTAGAAGTGTTTCATATGTTTGAAGATAAGAAGTAGTAGAATAAAACTTTTTGTAAATAATTTTAAAAGAAAAAGAAAAGCTAGGGGACTAGGAAAAGCTCAAATGACAGACATGATTGTATAAATTGACGTGGAATAATTACAGGACAACATTCAACACCTATTGCTAAAATCTCTCAGACAAAAAGGACCAGGGAGTGTTATGGATTAAATTATAATCCCTGAAGACAGGTGTAGGATCAAAACTACACACCTAAGAATAAGGTCTTTTTTTGAGAAATGACATTTCATGGTGTAATTACCTAAAATGAAGTGATAAGGGCTGGATGAGCTCACGGTTCAGCCTGGCTTGCCATCTTATAACAAGAGTTGAGTGGACTGTTGGTTTGGTGTGGCTTGTGTCCTTGAAAGGAGAGCAGAATAAGTTTTGATTCAATGTGACTTATGTTGTTATACAGCTATCTTCATTTCTATTCAGCTGATGTTTGTAGTGA